CCCCCCCCCCCCCCCGCTATTTCTCTCTGTCTCTTCCCCCCTTCTACCGGGTTGAGAGCAGCATTGATCGGCTACCATGGACACAAAACGCCATCTTGCGGCGGTATATGCTGCTCAACCCACATCTCGGGAAAAAGCACGAAGGAGAAGCAACACAATCAGAATAGCAAGCGAATAACGAACTTGAGTTGCCATGCATCGTGTTGCTGGCTCAGAGAATAGCGCGGTGTGGGATGACAGACGAAGACGGCAAGCCCAAAACGAGCCAGGCAAACGTTTACCTCTCCTCCATCGTTACACGGCCGTCGTTGTGTAGTTTGGTTCCGGGGAGTCTTGACCTCTCTCAATCCCTCAATGCAGTACCATACGTGCGGCCGTCTACGGGACGGCTGGTATGTCATACTTGCGGGTTTCATCGACCATCTTCCCAAATCGAGTACTGTAAAAAGGCGGAGAGATGGCACCGGGGTGCGTGCATAGTCTACAACACCACCGTATGCATAGAACGCGAAAGGCCGCGCTGTGTGTATTTCATTGGGCATCGCACCGGCCCGCGAGATCACACCGCGGTGCGACATGAGAGAAAAAAACACTTAATAAACGCTCGCACTCGGCGACACCTCTCCGCCTTTACGGCAACCTATTCCCATCCGCCAAGATCATATGTACGAATACCAGGAAGGTGATGTCCGACGGAAAAGCGGGGTAATTCGTTCTGTGTGAGGACGCGCAGTTCTATTGTTGTGTGTGTGCCAAGGACTGCTGGCTTCTAACCAAGACGGCACATAATTTCTTTCTTATGCTCCGAAAAATTGGAAAAATAAACACACTCACAGATGTCATAATGACCTCCAAGGCATCAACCGACAACCAACAGCCCGACACCCACCTAACAATCAGGAACACTACATACATGGGGGGGCTACGATGTGTGTGTTTGTACATTACGTAGATACGCACGTGCACTACATATAAACACTCCAAACAAACACCTATTAATAGACTGTACTTTTAACAACAGAACTACCGGTACGTACTTAAGAAACACCGTTTGATGTGAGGTCGGTGCACGGCCGTGTGAAAAGACAGTCACTGCTGTTAGGTTGGCGTGCGTCTACTGCTGCAGATCGTGCTCGATACTGCTGCAGATAAGTCAAGGTAGGAGGAAATATAATGGACTCCAACGTGGATACCACCATAACCATCACCATCATCGAGATCCGATCCGTGGTTGATGAATACATATCCGTAGCATTACGGGTGGAGGTGCAAGAAATACACCCATCGCCGCCGTACGATGCATATCTGGGAAAACGACACAACAGGAAAGGTTCTGTGCGAAAAAAAACTGAAGACACATAGGCTTACCAATCGAAAATCGGGGTGATTTTTTGGGGGCGGGGCGGGGACATATACCCATGTATCCCTAGGTTTTCCCCCGAGGCGTCGGCCCTTTGGCGTTAGGTTTGTGTTAGGGTTAGGGTTAGGGTTAGATTGATGAAGTCACAGGAACCCCACAAGACCAAGGCAACGAGTAGAATTGCGAGACTATGTTCCCTGTTGTGCAGTGCTAGAAGCGGCAACGGCAAGTTTGCAAGGCAGGCAGTTGTGTCGGATGGTTAGCTGAGCTGCTTTGCTGATTTCGAGCTTTGGCCAATGTTCTGTGCTTATGTAGGATTGGGGCGCTACCTTACGTACGTGTGTTCCAATAGCACGGCTGAGGGTGGGCCGGCTTCTGACGAGCAGATGCGGAAGGAGTAACGAGAGCGAGGTATGCTTTCAATCCATCTAAACCCCATGGTAACTTAAAAAAAAATTCGTCGTAATTTTTCGAATTTCTCCCCCTTCTGGGAGGCGGGAGGAGGGCCTTACTATTGTGTGTCGAGAACTTTTTTTTCGCACAGACCCTTGCGACAGGGCAAATCTTTCAACCAGAAGACTGCTGAACCCATTTCAAAAGTTCAATATTTCATGAACTCTGCGGCTAAGAAGTCGACTACCTGCAGCATCATCTAAACCCTTGCAACAGGGCAAATCTTTCAACCAGAAGACTGCTGAACCCTATTCAAAAGTTCAATATTTCATGAACTCTGCGGCTGAGAAGTCGACTACCTGCAGCAGCATCAAAAACCTACCCTCGATGTGTGCATTATGTCGTACTGGTTTGCTGCTTGTAGTACATCTGACGGAGTCCAGAACCCTTTGGGTTGGTACTGCCCTCTTGACCGAGAGGCAGAGCGCGAAGCGGCCGGGGACAAGAAAACAACACCGACGTGCAGAACCGTCGGTCATCGCAACTTGTCCCTCGGCACCCGCACCCATTGCTGCTACAACGGCTCTCACGGGGCAATGCAGAGGGAGGTTGCTCAAGCCAAAAGAAGGGAACACGGGAGTCGAAGCCGCACACTACCTCAAGAACAGCAGTCTACCCTCTGATCTACCACCTTGACGCCATGAACGGCCTCGGTTGTTGTTGTGGTCACCTGCACGCTTGTGCGGCAGTCAACGGTTGAATAATTATCAGATGCCTTTTCATCCAGGTGTGGCCTTGCGGAGGACTACGTACACGGGTGTGATCACGCAAAAAAAAAAAAGGTGCCATGACGAACAGGTTCGTTTGTGTGTTGAGAGAGTTTTGAAAAAGACGAAAAGTCAGCCTGCTGCTGCTGCCTGCTGGCCTCTGGCCTCGCTCTTTGGGTTCACAAAACAATCACAAGTTCGACCGCTCGTTCTGTTTGAAGGCATCCCGCGCACACACAACTCTCGGGCCCGGCCGAGCCACGAAATGATTGTTCGCGGGATGCAGAGATAGATGTGCTCGGCAGACCTCAGAACAGAGAACACTTGTATGCATGCACACACACGCCACACACCACACCAAACGAGCAGGGAAAGAGTGTGTGACCTACAAAACGCAGAGAAAAACACTACAAAAAATCGAGCGTCGTTGTCGTGCTACCTATACCGAACGATCTCGTAACAAGGTTATTACCATCAGCCCTGCTGTACTTGGTGCGCAGCAGCGCGCACACATACCTGAGGGAGGACCTCGCCCTCGCTCTCGCACGTGTGCAACACTCCCAAGGTGGCTCCATCGGTGACGTCGTCCATAGTGTATCCGTCCCCCGCGGACCTCTCCACGATCTCGCAACGGCCCTCCTCATAGGGCTGTCCCAGAAGAGTCGCTCGCGCCGTCACCACCTCCCTGCGGCACCCGTCGAGAGCCAAGCCGCCGCAGCTCCCTCCTTCGAGCCAGTCCGACGCCGCGAGGGAACTCTCCGCCCTCGCCAGCAGCTGCCTCACTTGCCCCGCCGTGGCTGCGCGGAGGTGCGCGAGAAGCAACGCGACAAACATCATCACGAGAGGAGAACAACGCCAACCGGAAAACATCCCTCTGCTACTTCCCGGCGGTGGTCGCATTCTCCGTTCGTCTGTTTGCTCCCCCTCCTCCCCCGTGTGGTGACGGTCCCTTCAGTAGAAACGCTCCCCACTCTTCCTCACTCTCCAATTCCTGCCCCCCACACGGGTAAGAGGAGTGTATCTCCCACCACCTACGCGGCGAGCGTGCTGGGACGGGGCTCTACCCCGTGCAGCAACAGCGGGAGGAGGTTGTTGTGTGTTGGGAATCTCTAGCAGATGATGACAGATGATGGACGTCGACACAAAACAGATCTATATCATATGGAAGATCCAAAACCAAATATTGGCAATCAATTGCGAACCCAATCAGCTCGTAGATTTTTGTTTCTCTGCTCGCCCTGCCCGCTGTTGTTCCGTTTATGTTTTCCACTGCAACACTCCACCGCGGGATGCAGAGGTATTCGGTGGTATGCACAGGTGACCGCCTCGCACCCCACCACACACGTGTTACCCACATGGCACAGGACTGGTGAGTGCGGCGTGAATAATAAAGCAGTGTTATGTGCGATCAGAATCAAATATAATCAGATCGTGAATCGTTTGCATGCGGACATGCCGAACTTTTCGAACCGAAGTCGCGAATGACAGCAGCAGATGCATATTTGCCTCGAGCAGTTCGCCGACGGCCGTAAACAGTGAGGTTTCTTTTCCGGTCGCGTTCCACTCGCACGTAGGCGCTAGGGCCAGGAAGACGAAACCACTGCAGGAAAAATACAACTTATATGCCGATATAGACTACATATCTTACGTCGTCATTTATCACATCGCGTCCTCTCTGTATCTACCTACCACAACAATGAGGTAGCAGACTGACAGCCGTATAAGTGGGGCACAACAAACTGCTGGTATGTGCTAAGACCATGTACAGCAGTACGTCCACGGACTCATTCTGACAGCACTTCAGACAGCAGTACACTGTAGTCGACAAACATTCATTTTGGTTAAATGCGGGACAAGGGGGGTGATGCTGCTGATGTAGTCGATTTGTAGTGTGTGGGCGTGTAGTCCAGTTTTGAGCATGCAAACGTGCTGCTGCAGGGATTGCAGGTGTACCTCCTCGGGCTTGCGTACCCTTTTCTTGCTAATAGTGTGTGTGTTCTGTAGATCTTCTGATATGCATTTTTGTGACCACGGACCGAGTCTTTGCTAGATTTTGGGATTAGCAACTGACACGAGTTTAATGTGAAGAAAAATAACAACAACAACAACAACAACAACAGCAGCAGTACATCTACGAAGTGGTAATTTCTCCCACACGCTCCGCTCTCATGGCCATGACATTCATTCACCTCTAGAAGTCTAAATTGCTATTTTCGGAGACAGGTAGTAGGTATAGTCTAGACCATATCACATCTAAGTACTCGAGTATTATTATCGCCTGACCCTAGATGGTAGATAGACTAACCTATACTCTACGTCACCTTAGTCGACACTGCAGATAAGACACGAACGGCACACCCGACCACATCGACGTCGCGCTCGTTTTCGTGGTGGCTCTCTCGGCGAAAGAGAAAAAAAAAAACACGAGGCAAACATGAACGGCCCGTCTGTGGCACCCATAACAACCCACAACAAGGGAGCACCCGAAGAATTGCGCATGTTTCTCGACGACAGACTACAAACTACGACACCGAATACCGTATCAGGTCATACAACTACAGTACTATATATTATAGTATGTAGACTCTGCATTCGCGTATAGTGCAAAATTACACCCAAGAGCCGAAGAGCAGCATAGACCTATTGTACGATAGTCCCTCCTTATCATTATTGTCCAACTTTCTTTGCGATTCACTTATTATACGCATGTGTACATCCAACTCTTCCAGTGGAAGTCGAAACTAGCCTTTCGTGTACATCGCCCCCCGCCCTGAAGAACGTGTGGCATTCCCTGCGGCTACCGACGACACATTGGAAATGTTCAGCGGGAACAACTTTGCCCCGCGCGGACAACAGACAGAGGAAGGTACGGTGTGGACTTGGTGGGTCACCTGCTCCGTGAGGATACCGTAGAGTACCAGTCTACCAACGGAAGCTGGAGGGAACAACCTGAAGCAGCACTTGTTATAAAATATCCAGCTGAGCACCACGAGCAAATACACACGTCATACACCCACGAGGAGCGGTCTAAGGATGCCAATTTTTTTTCTTCCACAGAAATTGTCAAGCAGGTGGGTATCTACAACATAGCCTACCGCCGATGTCTCTCGAGCTCAATGTTGCGTGCGACGTTTGGTGGTGCTCGTAATCCCCTACGTCATGCATATCCAACCCCACCACCATTCATTCCTAGCTATGTTTGTCTGACAACGCGATAGTCGAAGAAATAGGACAATTGTCAACGCCATCACCACGGGGCCCCATTAGTAGGGGGCGTAGGTCGTGGGGGGATAGACCCTATCCGTCATCCGCTCGAACCAATGCCTGTCGCGACGAACGACGACTACAGATGGCGCCCGTGCTTAAGAACCTCTAGTTTCGGCCGAGGCTGGGTTTCTTATTTTTCTGATCATCCTCTTGCGGGCTACAAATGGCCGCTATATAGGTTTCAGTGTAGGGCTTAACCGGGCTCACAAATGGTACTCAAGTTCTTAGCTTCTGATTTTTTCCGAGTCTCAATTTCTTAAGTGCTAAATTCTTAAGTGCGGGTGCTATCTGTACCACCAGCAGTTATGCAGCAGCAGAAAAAATGCCTGAACAGAGGCTACCTCACACCTCTGGTGCTCAACCGGTTAAACCCGAAACTCAAGCCTCCAACCTCCACTGCTGTTACAGATATCACTGCGGTCTGGCGAACTGCAAACGACGCCATCGCTGCAAGCTACCCCAAACAGAACCTGCTCATATCGGATGAAGAAAACCTAAAGGAATATCCTCAACACTCGGGATAACCTGGCCATCAGCCCGCGGCAGCCAGAAGCAAAGAAAAAGGTTCCCCGTATTTTGTACCCATTACACCTATCACCGTGTTCTCTTGCGAGTGTAAACAGGAACAGCGGTTGGCCTCGAGAACGTAAACCTAGTCAAACCGAGGTGCTTATTGCGACCCGTTTCAAAAATCAAAATTCACTCAACATCAGATCCCTACTGCCTACATAACGAAAAGGGGTTTGCTCCATTGTGCAGCGATGCGACGCTATACGCTATGCGAACTGCTGTTTGGGTCATCCTCCCCTCTGGTGTATGCATGCCTTGCCTTAATCCGCGTTTAGCATCGGTAGTGGTGGCTGTGCGGTTGGTGGCGTGGCTGGTGGAGGTGCCGGCGCGGGCGGGGGTGGTGGTGACGGTACTTCTGATCGATCTTGTTGCCGCTCCTGCTGCTGCTGCTGCTGCTGCTGCTGCTGCTGCCCGTTGCTTCTCCCAAGGTTTTGTTGGACGCCAACCTGCTGTAGTTGATCTACCGACTCCATCTGGTTCGCACTTAGGGTGTTCAAGTCTTGCCTGTTTAAACGTCGACGTTGTCATCCCATTGTCATCGCCAGGTGGATTGAAGATAGCCGTGTGGGAGAGGGGGAGAGGAAAGGATGAGGGGGTAGGTTAGTGTTCATCTGTTGCCACCCTCATCGCTCTCGAGGTCGCGGATCATACCCGCTTGTAACAATTCTGACATTCGGACGCCCGTGACGTTCTCGTGGTGACTTGCACAAAAAGGTTAAGGATGCATCCCCTCAGAATGAAGTGAAAAAAAAGGACGGCCTGATTGATTTGGTGGTCTGAGATACAAGCTCGCCGGTATACTGTGGTGGACAAAGTTGTTACCGAAGGTTGCGAGGTGCGGACCAAAACAAGACCAACAATTACGGAGCAAAACAAAGACAGACAACAAACAACGCGTGTATCTGCATCAGGCAGGTCGAATAGTCCATGACTAGATGTCCATTCTTGGACAAAATCCACGACTCATTCAAGCGAGACTTCACCTGCAGCATGGGCAGCGGGCACTGCGCTCGAGCCATCGCTCAATACAGCTCCAATGAAATGCGTGTCCGCACGTGACGAGCGTAACGATATCTCGTGCTTGAAAGGCTTCCAGGCACACCGGACATGCGACCGAGCTTCCTCCGCAAGTCGGCCGGCACGCCGGGAACATCCCGCCCCGCCGGTTCCTTGCTTTCGATAACCCTGAAAATGCGCGCAAACGCAAGAACATGCATACCCCGGATCGACGATACCAGCAACAAAGTATTCAGAGCTTACAACAGCGCGCGCGGACGACCGAAACGAAACCGAACAGACCGGCGGATGCATGTTGAATGCGAAGACTGCGAACAGTTCAGCAGCTGATGGCAAAAAGTACTTCAAGGCGCAGCAGGGGCCAAAGAAATTGAACGAGGTGTGGCATACTTGTTGAACGACAAGGCGAATGTACAGCAGTGTGCTGTGGAAGCGTTCCCGCGGGATATATAGACGGCAGAACAATGATGCGAGGTGACTGAAAACCATGCTCGTAAACTCACGTTTGTCAGATAATGAACGCAAGGACCCCGGTCGGCACGACACCCCTGGCGGCAGCACCGTCGTCGCCACCACCGCCGCCTCGCTCCCAGATACCGCTACGCTGTTGATTTCCACCCCACCAGCGTCTGGTGGTTCTGCTTCGACCACCGTGACTGCGGAAGCAGCATCCGCAGGAGCAGGAGCACCAGTAGCAATGTCACTAGTGGAGGCGTTTCGAACTTCGTTTGGTCCCTGGCCAGCAATTTCTCCATTGGTTGTGCCTAGTTCATGGAGTGCACCATTTTCATCACGAGATCGGTCGATATCCTCTCCGTCCCTCGCCTTTCCCTCGCTCCTCCCGTCGCCTACAGAGGTTCCTTCGGCTACCCACGCCAACTGCTCTTGAGTTCCCTGGCGGCCAGCCGCGCCACCGCCGTCACAAATAGCGTGCTCCTCGCCATCTTGCTCTTTCTTTTCCTCGGTCGACCCCCCGTATCGTCGTGGGAGCATTTGCAGTTCATCTCGCTCGGTCTCAATTGGGTTATTGTCTCCGCCGCAAGTACCACGTTCCTCGCCCGCCCGTCTCGGCCTCTCGTGTCCCGACACACATGTCGTAACACCATCAGTGGTAGGCACGGCCGTCTCGGTTCTAGAATCCGCCACCGGATCGTAATATGCGTCGTTCCGCTTCTCTTCCTGCCTTCGGCCGCGGGGGAAGGCGATCTCGCGTTCTCGTCTCCCTGGCACGGCCGACGAACCCTCGCATAGATGTGTTGGTGACGCGCGCGAAGATGACAGGGCGGAATCCGGGTGTAGCTCCCCCACTCGAAAGTCCTTTTCTTCCTCCCCGTAAGGCTGGCTTCCGTCGCTATCACGCCGGAGGTAGAGGCGTCCATTCGGTGATTCAGTCACTTTCGCTCCCTTTGCACCTAATTCAAGTTGTCGTGCTTAATTACATATTCCCATCCGACGGCAGTTCGAACCCGACTTGATTCGTTTGTCATTGTTTCCAATTAGACGCGCAGGGTGCGTTGAATCGCGGCACGGGCACACGGCATTACCAAAACAAAGATTGCAGGGCTAACGGTTGGTCACAGCAGCCAAGCGCCAAGCCTCTGAGCCCCCGACTTACGGAACAACACATTGGTTCCGCTTTTGTCTGCCTGGAAACCGAACAAGGCGTTGCCCGCAGTTCGGATTTACCGAACGTTCCCACCAAGACCGCACGTCCATGCCGCGAAACCACGTCTACTCAGCAAAGGTCCCCACCTATTTTCCCTTCTGGTTCAGTTGCAACGCTCGCAGAGGAGGCCGTGGTCGCGGAAGGAGCGGGTATTTCCGCCTTTAAGGGCGACACAAAGCCGTCCCCAGGCTTGGCTCGGAAGTGGATAAAACTCTTGCGTGTGCGCGGATCTAGCGCTCTCCTTTGCCTCTGGTCCACGCCTGAGCCCCCGAGTATTCCCGCTTCACCCTGGCGTTGATTCTCCTGAATCGTTCCATGAAAAATATCTGCAAGATTTCGGGCGGAGGTAAGCGGGCCCCGTTGCGTTCCAAGCGGTAAGGCATTGGCCTACATTGCCCTTGACGGGCACAGCAGTTTCGCGAGACAAGGAGGGGACATGTTTGATGGTCTTCTCTCTCATAGGCGGCGGCGACGGTGAGGACGACCGCGAAGAGTCGCACTGGGTAAGGAACGTCGTCTATCCACGGAAGAGAGGGCCGCGGTGCGTCGGTCCGCTATTCTCTCATTTCCGTGCAACACCAGCGAACAGCGAATCCGCTGGGTTTCATCCTCACACAATCTGCACAAATCGTATCCCCCCTTCGAGTGAAGTTCCACGCGCGCACGCGTGTCCACGCTGGAAACCGTCTTGGTTCCGGAAAGCTCGCCCTCGAAAACGGGAGCCGGTCGTTTGGGATAAGCCAAGGATAAGCCAAGGAAAGTCGCCCTTTTGAGTCATCCTTTTGTGCCGGTGCCGTGGAGTACGGCGGAGCGTTTGGTCGGCAACAACATCCCTGGTGCACAGGTAACGAACAACTTCCAAAACTCCTCATGTTGGGACACGACGTACTGGAATATTACCATGTGATGGTTCTTGAAATATGTACGTGTCTCACGATAGCAACAAAGACCCAGTTGAGTCTGGCGAATGTGTCGCTCATGCAATCAGCAGCAGTATGCTGATACACACTCAAACACACTCAGATCGAGGTGAAGCTACTGGTAGTTAGACCAGTGAAAAAGACCCTTTGATGATGGTTCATAATCTTTTCATTATGATGTGAGCATTGCTCAGACTACAGCTTCCGTGCTAAGCTAGGAGAGGGAAAGTTGGGAGTCAGCTCGGTGGGTGAGCTCGTCCTCAGCCTGTCTCACGTATTTCCGTCCCTACCGACTGACACGTCCAAAGAACTCAAAGACCGGTCTGGCAACGTTCCGGAGTCCTACATACCGTTCTACGTGGTCGTGCAGTAATTGTGGAACTATGCTTGAACAGTCATACTTGGTGTGTACTCAACTCTCACTCTTGTGAACCCATGTACCGGCTGTTCCTGTCATCGTTCTTGAGAACTGGCCCAAGAAACTCAGACACTTCCTACAATATTCCTTGGGCGGAATACAACTTTATCTGTGAACTCTCCTCATGCGTTACATTTCACTCCACTCTATGGATCATGGCATAAAGCAACCGTGCAGCAGTACTTCAGTAACTACACATAACCAATCAGTGATACTGCTGTATATCTCAACGTACAAGGAACGACATCAAGACGACACCGCGATAGGAACGAGGAGCACCAGAGCGTGTGCTATCCTTATGGAACATTTGAGGTGTGTTGCAGACATGCACACAAAGGTGAGAGACCGGTAACTCGTACAGAGTACGCCGAGTAGATCAACCCAAGAAAATTCTTGCGATCAGCCACGAACCGTGTGCAGATGACAAGTTTTTGCTGTATCCCCTACCCCCCCCCCCCCC